AACAGGAACTTGATTGTGGTCCTATGCTCTTCCAAATTGAACTTTTCTGGAGGCGCCGCCATGTTCATTTTGGACTGGAAAGTGAAAGTTAAAATCATAGGTAGTTGATTTTTGCACCATTGAATATAGACAAATTGGCCAATACACCCTGCATTTTATAGCTTCCTAGCTCAATTTTTTATAGGAAAGGCTCAATACTTATCAGCACCCCCTCATACTTATACTAAACATTATTGCTATGGTGGGATAGAAAATAAGATAATGGAAAAGAGAAAGGTGTGTGTGTTTCACCACACTGTGGAGGATGGTGCCATTATTTCCAAATATACAAAACCAAGGTATAGGAACAAGGTTGACCCAAGGCATTTTGCTGCCTTAGCTGGAATACGAAATTCTCTACTATCCCAAGCCACAATGCAGACTATTCAAGGCTTGCCAAATTATTTTAATACCTGGCGTAAAAAAAATCCCCTAACAACTCTCTATATCCCAACATTATTACATTTACATTGGTTTTGGACATCAACCCAAACTCGCCGGCTGAGACAAATGACTTACTCTTCTGATGGAGGGGCTGGTCCTGTATAGTACTATAAAGGTAGAATGGACAGATGAAAAGAGGCACATGGGCTGCAGGTATTTATTTAATTTACCACTAAAATGAATTTAATTTCTCTCTAATACTCACAATACTGTAGATTGGGCCTCCAGATGTTCTTGGACTACAACTCCCAGAAGACTTCACCACCACCTCTGCTGGCCAGGATTTCTGGGAGCTGTATTTATTTAATTTACCACTAAAATTAATTTAATTTCTCTCTAATATGCACAATCCTGTAGAGGTCTCCAGTCATCTGGCTTTAAATACTAAAAGATAAGACTGCAGAGCAAGAATATTTTTTATAGTTACAACTGTAAGATTAGTTTTTGTATGATGTTGCATTCTTTAATAAGATGACTACCAACAACAGAAAGCTATTACTATATTCTGCACAACAGATTAGGTGAGCAACCACCATCGCCATCAAAAACACAACTGAAACAAAAGAAAAGAACAAACTACAAACTTCGTGCTGGCGAGAAAAAAACCAACAACCAGTACCTGTTGCTGACTAAAATCCCTATGTTGCTGCTAATAGGCAAACATAGGCCACGTTTATATTTCTGACATAGGAATAATCATACATGTTCAAAGGCTATTTTTAATTGTGATGCATCCCTCCCCCCAATATGGAGGAAAGATTAATTAAATCAAAACATTCTTGAGATATTTTTGCTACTTTTGCTTCAAACTATTTGACAATGAATGACCAGAATCCTATTAGTTTGTATAGCTTGCTGCAGCTGATTAACAAGGTACCAGGGTGAGTGAGTGAGTGTCTAGCTGGCTGGATAGCTCAGTGGTTTAGCTGGAAGTTGAGTCATGGCAACTGGACTTTTTTCTTATTCCCATTTCACTACTCATCCAAATAGCTTCTTCAGTCTGAAGAGAGTTGTAGCGTGCAGCCCTGCCCTCACCTGTCTGTCACAGCTGAGCAGTAAAAAAAAGGGAGCCAATAAGTGAACGGAAGGTGGCCCTAAAGGGGGAGGGGCTGGGATATAAAGGGGGGTGTATGGAGTATGAGAGGGAGTTTTGAAGGAGATCTGTGAGTCTGTGAGAGAGTGAGCCAGAAAGTCAGTGAGAATAGGGTTCTGAGTGTCAGTGAGTTTAGTGAGTGAGAGAAATTGATTATCAACTTGTGGTTTACCTATTATATATTACTGATCAAATAAACAAGTTTAAGTTTCAAAACAACACGTGTCTCAGTAAATAATTGGTACTGAATTGGTATTGGTGGCAGCAACTAAAGAAGAAGTGTGAGCACCTCCTGAAGGCCTGAGATAATAGAGGCTTCAGCGAGCTCGCAACAAGAGTTAGTAGGAGACCCCTGCTATATCCTCCAGGTTGGTTTCACTTCCCCCTGGTCTGAACAGGCTCCTTAGATGGACAAAGGACCAAGGACTGGAGGGTGAGTGAAAATCCCACTTCTGCAGTCCTTCTCCACCTATTCTCATGGGTCTTTAATAGTTGTTAACAGTGGTCTTAATGGTGGGTGTGGTCCTGAACTTTCTGGGGAGGGATGAAAGGGCAGCATGATAAATAAGAGACAGATTATACAAGGCCTCCACCCCGCTGACCAAGGAATTTTCTATATACACATGTATGGCCTCCGTAACCCCTCTCTCAAACCACATATCTTCTCAGTCAAAACTGAGTACATATTGGTCATCAAATGAGTGTCCTTTGTCGTTCAAATGAAGGAACACTGCTGATTGTGGTCCTGAGCTGTTGCCCCTCCTGTGCTGGGCCATTCTCCTGTATAGTGGCTGTTTGGCATCTCCAACGAGTAGACGTTGTCTAGAGGGGCGGGGTAAAAATTGAATAAATAAATAAATAAACAAACATACTTGGATGAGTAGGAAAACATTTCAATCTAATAAGAAAGAAGTCCAGTTGCCATGACTCAACTTCCAGATAGTCTCACCTGGATGACTGAGAACCTTCACAGACTCAGCAGTTTAAGTATCTGGCTGTGGAGCCAGAGGTTCGGAGTTTGATTCCCCACTGTGCCTTCTGTGAGTACAGCCAGCTTGACTGGCCATGGGCGAGCTGCACAGTCCCAGAGCAGCCCCAGAAAAAGGGAATGGTAAACTACTTCCAAATACTCTCTACCTAGAAAATCCTGAGAGAAAATTATGAGGAAAGCCAGAGAGTTCCAGAAAAACATCTACTTCTGCTTCATTGACTACATAAAGGCCTTTTACTGTGTGGACCACTACAAACTATGCCAAGTTCTTAAAGAAATGGGAGTGCCTGACCACCTTCTCTATCTCCTGAGAAATCTATATGTGGGACAGGAAGCAACAGTTAAAACTGGATATGGAACAACTGATTGGGAAAGGAGTACGACAAGGCTGCATATTGTCTCCCTGCTTATTTAACATATGCAGAATACATCATGTGAAAGGCTGGTCTGGAGGAATCCCAAACCAGAATTAAGATTGGCAGAAGAAATATCAACAACCTCAGATATGCAGATGATACCATTCTGATGGCAGAAAGTGAGGAGGAATTAAAGAACCTCTTAATGAGGGTGAAAGAGGAGAGTGTAAAACATGGTCTGAAGCTCAACATCAAAAAAAACTAAGATCATGGCCATGAGTCCCATCGGCTCCTGGCAAATAGAAGGGGAAGAGATGGAGGCAGTGACAGATTTTACTTTCTTGGGCTCCATGATCATGATCACTGCAGATGGTGACAGCAGCCATGAAATTAAAAGATGCCTGTTTCTTGGGAGGAAAGCAATGACAAACCTCAACAGCATCTTAAAAAGCAGAGGACATCACCTTGCTGACAAAGGTCTGCATAGTCAAAGCTAAGGTTTTTCCAGTAGCGATGTATGGAAATGAGAACTGGACCATAAAGAAGGCTGACCACCGCAGAATTGATTCTTTTGAATTGTGATGCTAGAGGAGACTTTTGAGAGTCCCCTGGACTGCAGAGAACAAACCTATCCATTCTGAAGGAAATCAACCCTGAGTGCTCACTGGAAGGACAGATCCTGTCATCGAAGCTACAAACATGAATTTGACCAAACTCTGGGAGGCAGTGGAAGACAGGAGGGCCTGGCGTGCTCTGGTCCATGGGGTCACGAAGAGTCGGACACGACTTAACGACCAAACAACAAAAGAAAATCCTGAAAAGGTTTGACATAAATCAGAACTGATTTGACAGCACATGATTGTTATTTTTATTAGTGTCCAGAATAAGGTTTCCATTTATTGTGAAATATTACCACAAACATTTTTATAATAGTTACTTCAAGTTATTTCAGACTATGACCTTCAGCTCAGTTAATTCTATTCACATCCTTTTCAGACATGCCAAAAATAATCTGCTTTATTTATTTCCTGTCCCTCCCATTTGTCTTCCCACTGCTACTACTTAAATTCTGGTATACCTTCTATTCTGTATGTCACTGCCATACATTTGTTTTGTACTCTCTACGTACTCTCCTATCACTTACAATTGGTTTTCATCTAATATACTATTAGGCATAGAGATGCACTAACTATTTTTTTGAGATTCTCTTTTTTCCCAAACTATCAGCTTGGTTGGTGAACCACATCAAATGAGTATCCATTAAATATACTGATGACTTTTTTTCACTGAAATGAAATGATGCTAAAACATCTACATGAAGTTAAAGCAGGATATTTTTGCATACAAATGAGTGAGATGGTAAAAGTACAGCCCTGTTGCTTCTGAAGGAATTACTGAAAAGTCCAGCATGTAGAGAACAGGAAACAAAAACGGACAAACAATGGCAGAAAGGAAGAGTTCTCAGTCTTTGGCTTTAGTTACCTGGACCTTGGTCTTGCTTTGAGTGTATTTGATTCCTGAACAACTGTAACAAAAGATCACTTGTTAAGAACATGTTGAAGAAATTGGAATTCTTATAATTACCACTGATATATGAAAATAAATACTCAGTAGCACTGTTGGTAGACAACATGTATTTTACAGTGATATATTTTCAACAGTGCTACTAAGTATTTATTTTCAGGTGAACAAAAACTTCTTGAAAGGTATATTGCTTTAAAGAAAAAAAGTTTACTTTACTTCGAGTAAATAATTTCCTTTTTAATTCTTTGGTTTGTGAACACCATGTGAATAAATTACCAGACACACCAAATTCTGCTGCTAAAGGAATAGTCTGCAGATCTCAAAAACCTCCCAAGGTTGGCCATAGTATAGGAGACAACTGCCATGTATGGTTTATGAGCAACTACTAGTACAGTTCCGGTTTATATAAAATAAAAAAAATCACTTTTTGACAGTACAGCGGGACCTCGACTTACGAACGCCCCTGTCTATGAACTTTTCGACTTACGAACGGCTCCATTCGCAAAAACTGGCATCGACTTGGGAACGGAGCCTCGACCTACGAATGAAAAAAGGGAGGGGCTTTGGATATCTCAAAGCTCCCAGGGCTTCTCCGCCACGATCGAAGACATGCTGGGGGTGCCCTGCCACCACAATCGGAGCCTTCAGGCTTTCCCGAGGAGTAGACCGGGCCTACCGGGGAAGCCTTCGGGAAAGCCTGGTAAACCGGGCCTACTAGGGGAGGTTTCCCCCCTGCAGGTCCGGTCTACTCCCCAGGAAAGCCTGGTAAACCGGGCCTACCGGGGAGGGCTTCCCCCTGTAGGCCTGGTCTACCCCCCGGGAAAGCCTGAAGGCTCCAATCGCAATGGTGGGGGACCCCCGGGAGGTCTCCGATGGCAGCGGAGAAGCCCTGGGAGATTCCCCACCGCCATCTGAGACCTCCTGGGGGTCCCCTGCCACTGCAATCGGAAGCAGCGGTCACCCAGAGTCAGGAGGCTTGAGCTGGCTGGGTGCTCGGCCGCTCACCCCCGGCTGCAGCGGAGCGCCCGTAGACTTCGGACTGGTAAGTCCTTTTTAAAAAATTGTTCTGAGTGGGTTTTGGAGGGTGGGTTTGGACTGGGGGGGGTATGTTAGTGTGTTTTGTTTTTGGATTTGTGTGTGGGTTGTTACAGTTCCAACTTGGGACTTGCTCTATTTTTATTTTTATTTTGGTATTTTTTGAAATGCTGGAACGGATTAATCCTGTTCCCATGCATTTCAATGGGAAATGGTGCTTTGACTTAAGAACGTTTTGACTTAAGAATGCAGTCCCAATACGGATTAAGTTCTTAAGTCAAGGTACCACTGTATCAGGCTGTGAATATCATTTTATTTATTTAGTTAACTAGTTAATGTATCAGGATTTATGAATATCCATGTCACATGAATTCATCAGGACTTCAGCAGTCTTGTATCTTGAAAAGACAAAAAAATGTTTGTTTGTTTGTTTGTTTGTTTAAAAAGAATAAGGAATGAAACTATGCCAAGAATAAAAAGTTGGGGTTTTTTTCCTGAAATTTTCTTCGGAATCCTAGCAGTAAAGAGCCATGAATGATACTGAATTATGAGTATATTCTGTATATATCCTTCTTCATACTAAAGATAGTCAATCACTATGAACTGTCTGGCCTTAAGCAAAATGAACTAAGACCAGTGATAGAAACATGTTTTTTAAAGGAGATCCTTTTAAAAACGACTGGAAACATATTTTCATCCAGGTGTGAATTCTTTTCTTGATGGTTGGTGTTGCATGGCCCCTACGGAAATACTTATTTGTATGGGAAAGACTCATATTATCTGCTCTGCTTACACGCCACTTCAACAGACAATTGTCTGCTTCAGGAAAAAAAAAATCAACCTCAAATACAATGGTTAATAGGAAGCCACTGTTTTCAGGATGTGATGTTATGAGTAGCTGTTATTTAAGGAATAAGGAAAAGTTTCATCAGAGCCATATGTGAGAAGGAAGGAGGGAAGGAAGAGGAGTGAGGAGGAAACATGACTTGCTCCTAGTCTGATTTGGACCAAGGTCATTACATCTGTTGCACTGTTCTATTGCCAAGAGAATATTCAACCTAGTAGAAGCAGTTTTTATGATTCTAAGATAGTTCAGTTAGGAGAAGGAAAACTCAGTTTTCAAACCTCCGCTGCCTTGCAGCTATATCCACTCATGGAAAAAGGCTTCAGGAGTTAACCTAGAGGCAAAATCCAGAGCTGGAGTCCCGAAGGAAGTTTGTGTCGTTCTGCCAACTCCTGCGACGTTGCTGGAACCAGTTGTATTGGTTCTTGCCTTTCCATTGGACCATTTCAGCAACGTGGAGAAGGGGGGATTTGCTGCTTGGGTAACGGCCTATCCTCCATATTACTTTACCCAGGCTTCATGCTCTGGAGAGGACACTTCTCATAGTCTCTCGAGACTGAAGGATCCCTATGATGAGTTCAGTTGGTCAAGAAAGTTAACTATCCGTTGGCTGTTTGAACACTTCCTCATCTTGTAAACAAAATGCCAACACAGCAAGGACATGGGTAAAGTAGACTACTTCTGTCTACCTTTTGATTTACAGGGTTGTTGTTCTTGTAGGTACGAACATTAAAACATGCAAGTCACTATTTTCCATCTCAGACTATACATACAGTATATCTGCCTGTGTATTTCAAGAATAATAAGGCAGTATGAACAAATGGGAAAACTGACTATTTTCAAAAACTACTGTACAGTTCTAAGAATATATCTCAGTGAGTAATACAGCCATATCAGCGAGGGTGCTCTGGCAAGTGTAGTCCAACAAAAGCACCTTTCCCATCTTCATACGTATTAAAGTGGTAGGCATTAAAACTCAGCAAGAAAAGGAGAGATTACTGGGTTTCTCATCACTTCAGAACACATGCTATTGACACTTCAGACTTTTTGAGGGAGAAAGTCAGGATATTATTTAAATTCATTAATGGTGATCCTCTTATGTAGGGAACAGAATATCCAGAGAGGGCACAACATATGCTCAGTGCTAAGTCTGATTTTTGTTTTGTTTTTACTTTTAATAAAAGTGTTTTTTTTAAATAAATAACTTACTACTTTTTTAGTGCCTGTAGTTTGCTAACTCTTACGTAGGAAACGTACATCTGCTTCAGCCGTTCCTACCTTTATTCCTACCAACACAAAACAGGGCAGAATCTTACTTCACCAAGATGACTGCATAATGGCCATTTGTATAACCATTTTCTCCCCTTTGTCTTCATTGCAGCCGTGATCAATCAATGGCTGGAAAATTGGTCATATGACTGGATGTCCAATGACAACATAAGAGAAGGCCTGAAGAGGAAAACTGCTGTATGACTGTCATTCCATACATGATTTTTCTCCAAATGGATTTCAGCCAAAGCGTCTTGCAGTATCCTGAAGACCTAAACATTTAATATGGCATAAAGCTTTTGTGTACAGTCCAACAAAAGATGACTCCATAACAAAACCTGAACGTGTTACTCTTCAAGATGGCATTTTCGTTCATTTGCTACAACAAAAATAGTTTTGTCTGGAAACTTTTTCAGATGCTTCACCTACAAATTTCTATGAAAGCCATACTGATGAGTTCTTCAGAGTTAAAGTGAAGATTTATCACTCATAATACTAAACACATTTTTAATATCCTTCTCAACAAAGACTACATATGTTTTCACATGGGAATTATTTCCATACCTGTTTTGACAGCCAAGTGCTGGGACAGTTTAAATTCTTTTGATATTGCTTGTGCAGAAGCACTGATTTTTAGACCTTGATAGAAAAAGAAACAGCAGAACACCACGTTTGATATCAATTATTCAGTTCAGAACAAAAAGGCTATAATCAACTCCCATTAGCAATCCTATAAAATATTACTTGTTTTTATTAATACTTTAGGGGCTCTTACAACAGGCTAAGTATTATAAACAGCGTATTTATAAAAATTATCTTAGTATTAGTATTACGTTTCAAATAATTCAACAGAAGAACCCACAAACATGAATTGCTGAGAGACAGAGAATCACACATGGATCATCACACATATAAATTCTTCAAACAGGATTCAGGACCCATTCAACCAGATGCAGAATTCCAGAAGTGGAATTCTGTTCATGGAGGCAATACTCCTTCATCTTGGTTCTTCTTCATGCAGTCCTATAAATTTGATGGGAAGGGTTGGAATACAATGTACAGTAGTATGGGAGTTGTAAGAGGAAAAGGAATGGTCACAATCACGACAATCACCCTGTGTTGTTGTTGTTCAGAAAGATCAGGCACAGTCAACATTATAAAAACATGACTGTTATTATATAACAGATACAAGTTTAACCTAAATATCTGTTGAATATTGGTGCAGTATGTATGCTGTTCCTAACATTGCTGCTTTTTGTAGCTCTGATGGTGTGATTTCTGAGTTCTGCAACTGCTTATGGTACTGTGTGAAGTTTCTTGATATTGTTCCCAAAGTCCCAATGACTATGGGGTTCACTGAAGTGTGTTTCATCCAGAGGTGATATGTTTCAATTGCCAGGCCTCTGTACTTTGTTAGTTTTTCCAATTATTTATTTTCAACTCTGGTGTCCCCTGGAATTGCAATGTCAATGATCCAGACCTTTCTTCGTTCTATTACTACTATGTATGGTGTGTTATGTTCAAGGTGTCTATCCGTTTGGATCCAGAAATCCCAGAACTTGACTTCCTCATTTTTTCTCTCCCTTATGTTCCCATGGGTTTTTAGAGGCTGGCAAGTTAAATTTTTTGCATTATACATGTTGAACTTTATCATGTCTAGGTCATTATACATGTTGAACTTTATCATGTCTAACTTTGTAATCTGTTTATGTAATCTTTGGACATTCATAGATGAGGTGTTACACAGGTTTATCTTTTTCTTGGCAGAGTCAACATTTGCTGTTAGCCCTAATTCCTTGGATCTTAGCTTTCATCACGTTGGTTTGGAATGCTTGTTCTTCTGCAGCAAAAATTAAGCCTTCGGTATCTTTCTTAAGGGTCCCCAGTTTTAGTCACACCCATGTTGAATTGTGCTCATGCTTTCCATCAATATTTTTCAGGTATTGTCCATATAGTGGTTTCTTTTTGAGCTGTTTAATTTATTTTCAAATTGTTGTTTCTTATATTGAGTCTTTGTTTCTCTTGTTTCCAAAATATTCTCCATTTTCACTACCTTAACTAATTTTTCTCTGCTTGTACTAATATAATCATTTTGGCTTCTTTTTTCCTCCTCTACTACCTGCTGTATTTGCAGTAATCCACGGCCTACAATTTTTCATGGCAAATATAATCTGTCCACATCACTTTTTGGAAGTAGTCCATGGTGCATGTTCATTAGTTTCCATGTTTTTTGATCTAATTCCTTTAATTCATTTTGAGTCCAATCTATTATTCCAGCAGGGTATCTAATCACTGGAACTGCCCATGTCTTTATGGCTTTGATTGTATTCCACCATTTAATTTTGATTTTAAGATTTTCCACAGTTTTTTATATATTCCCTTTCTGTCAGCTTTTTAACTTTTGTGTGCACAATGTTCTCTGCTTCTAGTATTCCAAGGTATTTATAATTTTCATCATTTGAGAGTGATTTTTTATAATATTACCATTTTTATCTCTATTCCATCTATTTTTTTTTTATCTTGCCATGGTGTATAGACAGAGCTGCACATTTGTCAATTCCAAATTTCATTTGGATATCTTCACTAAATAATTGCACTGTGTTTAGCAGTGATTCTATCTCTGTGGAACTTTTTTCATATAGTTTTAGCTCATTTATTTATTTATTTATTTATTTGATTTATATCCCGCCCATCTGGTCTGGTCGACCACTCTGAGCATCCATGTATGATTGGTTTTTCCTGCTTGTTCTGAAATATGGTAGCCCACTCCATTTTATTTAAAATTGTTGACATGGGGATTAGTGAGATATTAAACAGCAGTGGTGACAAAGAATCCCCTTGAATTATTCCTCTTTTGATGCTAACTCCACCAATTTCTTCACCATGGGCCATTAAGATGGTTTTCCATTTTCCATGTTTTTCTTGAGGAAATGTTTTTACTATTCCCTAACATTTTTAGGCAGGTGTTAATTCAGCTGTGTGGCAATAAGTCAAATGGTTTTTATAGTCTATCCAGGCCATGTTAAGGTTTGTTTTTCATCTTGATGCATTCTTCAGTATCATTTTATCAATAAGCAGCTGATTTTTCACGCCTCTTGACTTTTTAAAGTTCCCTTTCTGTTCAGTTGGGTATAGGGAGTTTTCAGTTAAGTAATTATATATTGCTCTTGTAAGTACTCCTGTGAGGAGCTTGAACATGGTTGGAAGGCATGTAATTGGCTGATAATTACTGGGTTCATTGCCCTTTTGATGATCTTTTATTATCAGAAATGTGTGGCTTGTTGCCATCCAATCTTCAGTTGCAGAATTTTGATGTAAGTGATGAAATTCCATTGCTATATGTTGATGGAGACTTGCTAGATGCTTTAACCAAAATCCATGCAGCTCATCTGGGCAGCCTTTACTTGCCTCTTAATCATTTCAATTGTTATTACATTCTTATTCTTATTGCTGGAATTCTAGTTCCAAGCCCCATTCTGCAAAGGGAAGGATTTCTTTCTTTCTATTTCACACACATATTTTGCCAGTGAAAACTACAGCTATTTGTAAGCAGAATCACAGAATGTACCACAACGTTCAGACCTTCCCTACAATAAGACTTATGTGTTACCATTGTAACTATGTAATTTATTCAGGTTTGGTTTATACAGGAAGTGATTGTAGAGCAGCAGTGGATGATAGACATTCAGAATTGACATTTTACAGCTCCTTAAGATCTCCTAATAAAGTTAGACATTCAATCAAAAGTTTTCAGTTGCTCTTTATGACATTCTTTGCCAACAGAGATTTTTTAGTTCTCAACATTTTACTCTTTCAGGCAGTTATGTGAGGAAAGTGCTTGATAAAAGTCTTAGCCTTTGCAGGTGTTTGAGGCTCAGTGGTATTACTGTCATTATGTGCCATCAATTCATTTCCAACTTATAGCAACAATATGAATTAACAACATTTTAAACACTCTATCATTAACATCCCTTGTAGGTCTTGAATTAAAAGCTATGGCTTCTCTTTTTGAGCCACCTGAGTTGTTTTATAAACACTGTATTAATGTAGCCTGTTTATTTGGATTTTTAATGTTGTTTTAGGTGGTGCTAACTTTGCTGCCTTAAGTATCCTCCTAGGATACAAACTTTTAAAATAACTTTTAAAATAGCATCCAAGATAGCAGGAGCTCTAAAGAAATTACTTTAATACAGTGTATGGTACAAAATTCGTAATATTTCATTCTAAACCTATCACTCTGAATGGGCCTTAGTGAAGAAAAAAGCAACAGTGGTTGGATTTTGCTAGAAAATGAATTATTGTACACTCTTTGATTGGTATAAATGGAAATATAGATTTGAACAAAATGCTTTTAAGAAAGAAGGTTCTACAGCTGAAGCATAAGCCCCTGTGAGACTTACATACCCAGTGCTAATGGTGGGACTGGCACTGCAGTCCCATCCCTCTTTAGGTAGTCACTCTGAGATCTACAACTTGCTACATTACTGATTGTGCCCCCATTCCTCTTTGCAGTAGAGTGAGATATGCAGGCTGATGTGTGAACTGGGTAGCTACATAGCAACACTGCATATTTTGTTCGTGAACAACTTTCTCAATGTGATATCCTGCAACAGCTCCCCGTATCCTGAACTATGCAAAGATCTACCGGTATTTTCAGCATGTCTGTGCTATCCCCTGAACAGGCACCATTTCTTGTCACACAGACAAAATAATTTTCATGTGCTCACTCTAGATCAGTGGTCAGGGAACGGGGTAAATTACCCCAAATGGGGTAAAAATGAAAATCCTGGGGGTAATGGGGATGGTTGCTGCAGGCATTTTACCCCCAGGCATTTTATTTCCGACGATGCTGTGTGTAGGCGGGCATTCCGTCGCGGGGAGAGCGAGCCCTGGCAAAGAACTGCACAGGGCACCTACCTGTCCGACTCACCTCCAAAGTGGGGAGGGGAGGGCAGTGGACCAGGCCAGGTGGACTCTTTGCCCGGCGGAGCCCTGCACGGGGCTCTCCTTCCTGCCTGCGCCCACCTGCCCGGTCCATTGGCAAGGAGGCCCCCTTCCCACCCCGCCTCCCCTGAGCTCATGGCCAGTGGACCTGCTGGCCCTGCGGTGCCCGCCTCCCCTCTCCAAGGACGCGCTTTCCCAGCGATGTGGCAGCTCCAGACTGGCTGCCTGGATGGTTGCCACAGGTCCTGGGTGAGCGCAGGAGGGGCAGGGGTCAGCCATGGACGGCAAGAGCCGAGGTGGGGGATAATGTCAACGTAAATAAAATTTTGGGGGTGTAAAAAATAAAAAAGTTCCCTGACCCCTACTCTAGATTTACTACAGCTCTCTAAGAACCATCTCCAAGTTGCACAATATCAGAAGGCTTCAAAATATACAAAAAATTAATGTCTTGGTTGCTGTCTTCAGTGCCCAAAAGCAGGTATTTTGGCCCTACCCAGCATGGCAGACATTAGCCATTCTGGGTGGGGCTGATGTGAACTGTAGCCCAAAACATCTGGATGGTATGCCTGATGCTAAATAATCCTTCCGAGGTATTGAGATTTAAAATTTGGAAACATAAGAGGAAAATTGTTGCAGTGTGGAGAGAAACTATGTATTTACACATATTTTGACATATTATGTGGGATATTTGTGGGGAAGAATAAACAAGGAAGCTGCAATCCCTACTTGTAAGTACACTAGGCTTTGGACTCAGAAGAAACCCAGCTGTAGTGAAAAGAAACTTGTGAAAAGCACTTGCCCCCCAAAAATGATTCTCTATGATAGATATTCTTCTGAAGGAATTAACTGGCAACCAGAAATATAGGTAGGACTCAGGTATTCAGTTTTCACTGCTTCATCTTCTCTAGATCTGAATTCTAAGACAAATTGAAATTTTACCTAAAAGAAACACAAATGTGCTCTTCACTGTCACAATACAAACAGCATGCTATTAAAATAGCTGTCTGAATTACTTCAATTACAGAGAATCTTCACAGATATACCTAAATTACATATATTTGGAAAGCTTTACACTGTATAACTGACTCAGATGGTATTGATTTTCTTTATCCAACATGAATCATACAAAATATCTGTTACCATGTGAACCTTAATTAATTAAGAAGCAACACTTTGGTATTGTACCTTGTTTGTCATCATTAACTGTGCCTTGTTTCAGGGGAGCTTTATCTGGTATCTCTTCAGGTGGCATCTCCTTACAGAGAAGAGGAGTGAGGAGTTGCAATGATAATAAGACGGAAGAGAGGAGAGAGAGAGAGAGACAAGCACACAAGTCAAGTGAAGCTATGCTGTTTGAAAGGCTTACAGAAGCTGATTGTCTGGGGAGAACCCTTGAAGGAGCATGCCATCAAGGAACAATTAAGGCTCCCAGATTATACAAATGGTTTCACTTTGCGGTTATACTGAATCCCACACAGCAAACTGGTAGGTTGGATTTGGAGAGTTAAACACTATGGAATAGTTTAGCACTGTGACACGAAATATGACCTTGTGCATATGCTTGCTCAGAAGTATTTGATGGGGCTTATTATTCCCTCATCAGGTGTATTCAGGACTGCCATGTCTTTCTCTTTAACATTACTGTCCTCACAAACACTGATACTACAGTATAATGTAAGCCCATGTTTAAGAATGTAGACCTTTACAGATCACCCAGCAATCAGCACTCCATAAATGCATTGGGTCATTTAAATAGTTTGTCTATCTCATGTACCAGTCAGTTTTCAGGTTCATATGAATGGGTCTTGAGTTCAATATTCTAAAGAACTTATCCGATAAACTAATCTGTACACTATCAGTCAACTCCTCACACACAACATTTAAATTGACTACACTTTTAGTGTGTCTCAAACAGAAGGCTTCAACAAAACAAGTTCCCATTCAGAAAACCATTTCATCAATTACATAAAATAGCAGGTAAGGGCCACACACTCACAAATGCCATACATATAAATAAATAAATAAAAATGGTCACCAACTGGCTCAACAGTTGTTGCCTCAAAATGAATTAATGGCTCTGAATTGTTTGGATCTTCACGGACAGTTTCAAGCTGGGTGTTTTGAAGGCAATGAGAGAGAGAGAAAAAATGTTTTTGATGAGGAAAAGTATACCAATATTAATTTAACCACAGATTCCAAATGTAGATATATAAGAATGTATTCAGTTATATATTGATTAAATAATTCTTGATCCACTTTAAACAAACTTTTACAAACTGACTTTAAACAAACCAAGAAACCTATCACTAACTTCATGATACCTACCCACACAACCAGTTTTCTATTTATTGCAACTTACAAGGAAAAAAATGTTTCTGGAGAAAAAGAGGGGTGGGTGGGAACCATAATGCATGATCAGGGCATAAGTGGTCTGAAGAATGCATACTTTACTCTGTACCTGATCATCATATCTGAGCTTCATCCTCCCATCAAATATTGACTATTGTGTCCTAATTCTCATTTATGTCTTGTAGTATTTCTCTACTGATACTATTCGCCAACTGTTACTCAGCTCTCCTAATAGGCAGAGCAACGAGACCCTCGGAACTCCACACTAAACACCTGATCAAGCTTTCAGAAGGTGTTCATCAATTGAACTCAATGTTCTTTTTCTCTTCTTGTTTTCTTTCAATTAACAGATGTGGAGACACTGCAATTAAAAACCCCAGCTCTGGCTGATCTGTACAAGTCTCATTGTTGTTTAACTTGTGGCCTGGCCAATCATTCACCTCATTCGTGACACATAGCTACATAATCCAAAATCCACCAAATAGCTGGGGGTTCTCATTAATGGTCAATGGAAAAATTGGTAGAGAAGCTGTTCTGTGGAACCATTTAAATCTGGCATTATTCTCAATGCTTTTCTCAATTCTTGTTGCACCCCAGTTGCTGTATTACAAGACTTTCCCCCTCTACATAGAAATTTGTACATACCTCTGCATATTTTTTTTCAAAATGTATACATTTTTGCATGCATTTTCCTGGTGTATTCATTTTTAATTGACTAAAGCATGGTTCTGCTTTAGTCAATAATCTTAGTTATGTTCATTTTTCACATGTACACATAGTTCTGTGTGCATTTTCCCCTCTGAAACTGACTTAAATGCTGAATATTTATGGATTTCCAAGGTAAGGTGTATCAGGCAAAATTCACACAAACAAAACAAGAGAAAAACATGTGGCACCTTAAAGACTATTACAGTGGTGCCTCGCTTAACAGGCGCTCCGTTTGACGATGAAATCACTAGACGTCGATGTTTTTGCGATCGCAAAACGATGTTCCCTATGGGGGAAATTCGATTTGTGATGATCAGTTCCCTGCTTCGGGAACTGATCATCGCAAAGCGATGATTTTCGGCCAGCTGATCGGCGGTTTCAAAATGGCCGCCGGGTAAACAAAATGGCCACCCGCTGTTTTCTGGGACGGATTCCTCACTGCACAGGCAGCGAAAATGGCCGTGCTATGGAGGATCTTTGCTGGATGGTGAGTTTCAAGCCCCTAGGAATACATTAATCGTGTTTTAATGCATTTCTATGGGCTTTTCAAAATCGCATTACGACGTTTTCCTTTTACAGCGATTTCGCTGGAACGAATTAAGGTCGTAATGCGAGGCACCACTTTATATTTAAAGTCTGCTTTCATGGACAAGTCCACTTCATCAGACATATGGAGAAAAAATGAAATACCAAATTTGCAAGTAAAACATTAATTGGTTCTGAGAGTCTTGGGTGTGTGGTTACATCTCACATGCAGTAATTTATGGTTTATGTTTGGTGTTAAGTTATATTGTAAACATTCCTACAGGGGACAGAAAACAGATAATCTTGCAAGAGCAAAAAAGAAGGGGGAGAAGGGGTGGGGAGGTTGGTGAAGACTGGCAGGAATAAGGATATCAGTTAAGAACTCAGGTGGGGAGAGAGAAAAGTATATACATAAGTAAAAAATATAGCAGAGGAACTCTGTGTGTTCAGTTGTTCGTCTTAAGAAGTGTAAAACGGATATTTTCATAGGAGAATGCATACCATACAAATTTCTTTTCTATTCCCACTGAAGGGCCACTTTTTAAAATGAACTTGAGACAAGACAAAGAGGTAAAGAGCAAACAGTTAAAATTATTTGTCAAGTGAGCTTTTTCCCCTCCAGCTATTGAGTTAGCCTTCTAGAGAATCCAGAAATTTGATAAGCAGTCCTTGCACCCCCTCATCCAAGTAATTAATAAAATCATTGAAGAGCACAAGGCCCAGAACTGAGCCTTGTGGTACCCCATGTTGCCTCCTACCAGTTTGAGAAGCCATTGAAAACCATTCTCTGAACAGGATTCTGTAACCAACTGTGTATCCACCTAATAGCTGTTCTAGCCAGCCTAATTAGCTTGCTAATCAGAAAGTCATGGGGGACTTACTGAAGTCAATATATATTACATCTACAGAATTCTCAACATCTACCAGGGAAGTTACCTGATTTAAAAAATGACATCAGACAAGCTAAAGTAGGAATCGAACACGTTTGCCTTTTCTTTGTCATCTGTTATAATTTTTCCATTCCCACCAAGTAATTGAGGCACTATTTTTTCTCTATCTTTTGCTAAGCATGAACCTGAAGAATGCTTTTTTTTTTTTTTGCTTTTAGTATCTCTTGCTAACCTCATCTCATTCTCAGCTTTTGCCTTCCTAATACCATCCCTGCAATTCTTTGCTATTGCTTCTCTGCGGCCTGGCCTTCCATCCACTTTCTATGTACTGCCTGCCAGACCCCTCTTCAAGAATCTGAAAGCGGTTTTGCAGTTCCACTGTTGAAGAGCGTCTTCTCCTTCTTTCACTCCTGTGACACTTTTCCATGGTGCTTTCTTTACTATGTTTGTTCTGTCCTTAGCATTCTCCACCTCTGCTTTGTATTGCTATGCTTCCACTTCCTCTGCCTCCCTACTGCAGCTTGGGAGTTCTGTCGATGTACTCTTAATTTTATCTTGTAGCCTTAAGTGTGGTCATTAGTGCTCCAGTTATCTCACTTTTTCTTCCAACACTGCTATCAGTTTGCTATTGGGGCATGTGTATGCGGTGTTGTTCTCAGGCACAAAGACAAACATTGCACACAGTTTGCAGATCACCACCATTGAAGTGTCTCTTCCTTCCATAATCCCTATTAGCTTTCTGCTGTCTTCTGTTTGTCTATGAGTGCCCTTTCCTTTGCCTTGTCTTCCTTGAAGGATGATTGAATATCCTCTAAATCATAACTATATCTAGAAAAAAAATTGTTTGGGGCCTTCCACCTTGGCCTCCTTCACTGATTCTTCCATCAAACTCTTGCTAGCTCTCCCTTTTTGCTCATTCTGCTCACTTGCTCCCTGGGTTCGCTCTTAGTTTTATCCCTCTGCTGTGCTCTCACTTCCTTTGTCTTCTGCATCTCCCCCTTCTCTTTTGTCTCCTCTTCCAGTAGACCCTGTCCTCACTATCTTTCCTTACTACCTCTCCCTGATCAAACTTCTTTTAGCTCTCCCTGGTTGCTCACTCCTTTGGGTCTGTCACAGTTTTATTCCTCTATTGCACTCTGTTAGGAGTCAGCAAACAGAAACCAATCATTTTCTAAAGAAATGACTCTTTTCATTTGATATTTATTCCCATAAACTATCCAAATCATGAAAACTAATGAAATTTAATACAAAGACCTGTGTACAGGTGAAAAAGGGAAGCCACTATTGATATAATGGGTATTGTGGGTTTTGTTTTCTCTTTGACTGTGTTCTGAAGGTTGTTCTTCCTAACATTTCACTAGTTTCTGTGGCCTGCATCTTGACAGCACTCTGTGCTCTGGCCGGCATCTTCAGAGGACAGAGTGCTGTCCTCTGAAGATGCCAGCCACAAAGACTGGCAAAACGTTAGGAAGAACAACCTTCAGAACACGGCCAAAGAGCCCGAAAAACCCACAACAACCATTAGATCCCAGCCATGAAAGCCTTCGTGAATACTCTATTGATATATTTTGATTGATGCAATACCAACAAGGGTACATAAGTATTAATATAATATCTGCAGCCTAGGAGAATAATTTATCCTTACCTCAGTTCTACTGAAGTCCCTCGTTTGTTGGTTTACTGACAACAATTCTGAATAAGAATTCATCACACGATCACTTTTAGGTTTAAGGGAAGCTAGATGGAAAAAAAAGTTGGAGAAATACACCAGTCATAACTGGCTACCCCTCGTTCTAGATACACTATGCAGTTTTCACAGTCATTAGGTCTTTGTGATATCTTGGAAGAGAAAGCAAGCGTTCTGAGGGGTGAAAAATATAGAAAGCTATCTGGATATTTTTGGGCTCTTAGTTAAATTAGCCGCCCCGAGTAGACATTGTCTAGAGGGGCAGGGTAAAAATCGAATAAATAAAAAAAAAAATAAATAAATGTAAAGACCATTTTACTTTTCAAGTCCATAAAGTTGCCATAAAAACTTTATTAAAAGCACTAGTCAAAGTCAACCTAGTTAGTTTGTCCACCCCATATGCCCAGAAATGTGCAAATTCCTTTTTAAAACACTGTTCCTGGAATATACCAGCCCACATGGCCAGTAGCCCAGCCATATTGGCTGGGATATTCTTGGCACTGTAATTTTAAAATTTGTGGGTTTTTTAAAAAGCATATTTTTTCCATCTCTTATTATGCCCAGGGACTTGCTGTATGTTGAGGAGGATGACAACTAGTCCTGTGCATGGCATGGTGAGGGTAGCAGTACAGTATTGTTGACGGACACAAAAATGGTTCTCACTTCATTGCTGTAACATCTTCCTACAAAGAAAGCAACTGGGGCTCATCTGCACTGCAGTGCTGTCCCCAGTTGTTCTGGGCTTTCCCAGATCTGAACAGATCATCCCTGCATTAGTGCTCACAGGAAGGATATTTGTTGCTGGATGTACTGAGATGCTCCAGATTGTCCTGGGACCTCCTTGTCCACACACATTAAGAATTGCTTCCAAGGTCTGTCCCCTTTTTTCCTATCTTCTCCACCCTTTCCTCGCCTTCTTTATATCTCTTTCCCTGTTTCTTTTCCACACCCACTATTCTCAAACCTTCCCATTTTGGTAGCAGCACTTTCTAATTTTATCTTGTTATTTTTCATTTTCACTTTTGTGCTATGATGCAAAAGACGTAGCTTTAAAAAAAAAATAAGCAGAACACAGAGCCAGTTTATTAGATCTCTTGCCCCCTTTCCTAGCTACTTCATTTTCTTTTCTTTTCCTTTCTTGTTTTACTCACCAGCCATTCTCAGATCTTTACAATTTTATTCCAATGCTTTCTAAATTTTAATTCCAAAAAAAAATTAGTTTACACTTTTGTGCTATGGTGTGGAAGTGATAACATTAAAAAATTAAATAAAAGCAGAAGGCAGGAACAGCTGGCATCTTTTCTGCCTTCTTTCTGCCTACTTCATTCATTTTTCCCTTCCCTCCTTTTTTTATTACTCCAAAAACGCCATTGCTTTCTATTTCTTTATTTATATTTTTGTTGCTGTACCAAAATAATATTTGAAAAAGCAGAAAAGCAAAACAAAGGAACAGCTGATACCTTCTCTGCTTTACACTCCACCATCCCTCTCCCTTCCCCTCTTGTTTTGCCAATCCACTGTTCTCAAACCTTCACATTTTCACCCCAATGCTTTCCAATTCTAATGGTTTTATATTCAGTTTTCAGTTTTTCAGCTATGGTGCAAAAGTGATAACATTTAAAAAAAATGCATAACACAGGAATGGCTGATATCCCAAGAAAAAATAAACAGGAACAGTAGTAAGGCGTGGAAGGATCAAGACCAACCAGCAGAAACAGACACACAAGGAAATGTGGCATAAACCCACAAACTGCATGGATCAGCATGCCCAAGGACATCCTGCACTCAAGTAAATCAGGATAAAGTGCATGGATCAGCATGCCCAAGGAGATCCTGCACTCAAGTAAATCAGGATAAAGCAGAACTAATGTGTATCACAAGCCAGCAGGGGTGTAAAACTCACAAGGGTTGGTTGTTGGTGGTTTTTTTTGGTTCCACTTTGACTCTGTTGACACTAGGGGTGTAAAACCTACAAGGGTTGGTTGTTGTTGTTTTTGGTTCCACTTTGACTCTGTTGACACTAGTTTTAGCCTTATGTTAGGTGGATGGCAGGATGCTGTACCAGTATAGCATGCTCATTATGGATGGATTTGTAGTGCTGACCTCAAAAGCAACAGTATCTGCAGACTTGGAAATTTATAAAGCAGGAGTGCCTATAGTAATCCAATATTCATGAGTTCAAAGAGAAATCCAGCATGAAATGCGACTGAACATTTTCTTATTTGCCCCTGTTCTCAATAAATGCACATTCCACTGCAAAGTGGAATGATGGAGACAGTGTCAAAGGTAATGTCAGAGCAATATGGAAAAATCTACATAAATAATGGAAGTATAATATGTGTAGTGTAGACATGTTCAAAGCCACCCATCATCTGATTGTATAATGGACCATCATCCAGCACTTTGAGTTAATTTTGCAAGACACATCAAAGTCTTATTAGGAATGCCAAGTACAGATTTTGAGCTGGTATTTCTCTGCTAAGAATGTTCTTATCAGCCCCGTCACTTAGACACAATTAAACAATCATACTTTCAAAGCAAATGTCCCAGAACTGCAACTAAAAGTAGACTTTGTTGAAAAGGTTGTTCTAATCAACCTTTTGATTAAATTTCTAAATGCAATCATGGAAGTTTCACCTGCTTGCAGACAGTCAGGTAGTAGAGTCTCTGGTAAGGTGTCTGGCAAAAGATAACCGTTCTTTCGAGCGACAACAAGGTGAAAAGCAGCACAGAATTCTGCCAGTGTCAATGCTCCATCACAGTCTACATCACTAAGCTCCCTATGAATAAGATAATTATTATTGAATATTTTAAAGCACTGTTGAAGCAAAGTCTTTGTTTATAAGGGTCCTAATTTAAATTTCAGGAAACCGATTTTTAAAGTATAGTGGGGGTGGAGTACCCCCACTTTGGCATTTAAGTGTTTTCCTTTTTGGCATCTACATCATAAAACTATTGAATGTTTTCCTGAATACATTTTTTAAATTTACTTGGACAAAGGCATTTCATTTTACTGTTTTGTATTCCAGTTTCCCCATCTCATCCTAACATCTAAGCACTTGTCAACTGAGGTGGCTCTCTGTGCATTTGATGAGATGTGCCGTCGAGTCAATTCTGACTTATGGGTGACCTTTTTCAGGATTTTCAAGGTAGAGCAGACTCAGAAGCCATTTACCATTCCCTTTGTCTGGGGTTGCACTGGGACTATGCAACTTGCTCAAGACCACAGAGGCTGGCTCTACTCTCAGGAAGCACAGCAACCTCTGACTTTCCAGCCAGACAAAATCTCCGATAAAACTTGTTAGTCCTCAAAGTACCACCAAGTTTTACATATTTTCATGTATGGATTATCTAACTAGATAATGGCCCCTGCTAGAAATTTAAAAACACAATAGTATTCAAATAGAATTTAACTTGCACACATCTGTTTGAAATGATATTGAAATAATCTCTTTTTTTAAAAATCAGGGTCAGGTTTCATTAGCAAAGTTGATAAATTATACAGCTGTGTTTATTTAAAAAGTTAGGTACTAATTAGGCTTCATTTGATAAGCGCAGCCAGAACTGTAGCGTGTGATGATATCTTAAGTATTCCAAATGTATGTTTATCCGAATCCACTTCACAAAACTATCTATTGGATTGTTGTGCTAATTATGCTCTTTAAAATATTCCTCAGAACACTTCCAGTATACATTACTATTCAAATTTCTCTAGTCCTGCTGAGAAGGGACGGTATCTCTATAAAGATAACAAGCATAAAAGAAAGATCAACATACACCCTACTGTGCTTGGGCCTCAAAGTAGTTTTGATGGGAGAGCAATTACTATGATTTCTTTAAAGATACTTTTTTAGAAGTATGAAGAATGTTTCAGCTACAGTAGAGCACACACAATTCTGAATTATAAAACAGTACTTACCATATGTGTGAAAGCTCAGGGATAGGCAGCTTAGATTTTGTAAAGAAGTTCTTAGCCACAGAACCTGCCAAATGAAATGGGTGATCAAACAGTGAAATAATAAATTATATTTGTTTATTTTATTTGTTTACAAATGGTAAGCAACTGTTTAAAATAATAAATTTTACAGAGCAATGCTCCTTACATTGCATGCATTAAACAAAACAGATGACTTCTTCTTTAAAAATTACTCAGATTACTTATTGGTTATTATGCAAACTTGTTACACTAGACCTGTTAATTGGAAATATCAAGGCAATTTAAAATTTTGAGTGAAAAAAAATGTTTGAGAGAGGGTACCTGCAAACATTGCATGAATCAGAAGCGATTCCTGAAATAGCCTTGACCCATTAAGACATTAATTCCTGTATCATTAAAATCGACTCCACTTACTAGTCTGGTTTTCCATTTTTAAAAAAAAATTAATAAACAATTATGCCAAAATAAAATGGTCTTTGCCATCATTCACAAATGACAACATTTACTGGATCTTCTGGAACAACAGATTGGTTCAAAATTGGGACAGAAGTATGACAAGGTTGTATATTGTCTCCCTGCTTATTTAACTTATATGCAGAATACATCATGCGAGAGGCAGGACTGGAGGAATCCCAAGCCAGAATTAAGATTGCTGGAAGAAATATCAACAACCTCAGATATGCAGGTTAGATTTGCACTCTCCTCTTTTACCCTCTTAATGAAGGTGAAAGAGGAGAGTTCAAAAAATGGTCTGAAGCTCAACATCAAAAAAACTAAGAAGGATCCTATCACCTCCTGGCAAACAGAAGGGAAAGACATGGAGGCAGTGACAGATTTTACTTTCTTGGGCTCTATGATCACTGCAGATGGTGACAGCAGCCCTGAAATTAAAAGACGCTTGCTTCTTGGGAGGAAAGCAACGACAAACCTCGACAGCATCTTAAAAAGCAGAGACATCACCTTGCCGACAAAGGTCCGCATAGTCAAAGCTATAGTTTTTCCAGTAGCGATGTATGGAAGTGAGAGCTGGACCATAAAGAAGGCTGACCACTGAAGAATTGATGCTTTTGAATTGTGGTGCTGGAGGAGACTCTTGAGAGTCCCCTGGACTGCAAAGAGAACAAACCTATCCATTTTGAAAAAAATCAGCCCTGAGTGCTCACTGGAAGGACAGATCCTGAAGCTGAGGCTCCAATACTTCGACCATATCATGAGAAGAGAAGACTCCCTGGAAAAAACCCTGATACTGGGAAAGTGTGAAGGCAAGAGGAGAAGGGGACGACAGAGGACGAGATGGTTGGACAGTGTCATCAAAGCTACCAACATGAATTTGACCCAACTCCAGGAGGCAGTGGAAGACAGCAGGGCCTGGCGTGCTCTGGTCCATGGGGTCATGAAGAGTTGGACATGACTTAACAACTAAACAACAACAACTGGATCTTCTGCTTGTAACCAGCCAGTACAAATAATTCTTGTATCTAATTTAGGCTGCCTGCTTTAAGCCTACTAAATTTTATTTCTAACCTTGTATGAGAACATAGTACAGTATCATAAAAGGCTACCTTTCATTCTTTATATTTTGAAATCTTTTGGGTGCTCAGGTGCTAGGGAAATGCAATTGCATGCTTAAAGAAAATCTACTGGATGGAACAAGTTAAATTCACATTCCTTACAATTAATCATAAGTAACATGTGTCCATGGGCATGGATGCACAAAACAAATTATCAGTTTGGCATCCCCACCAATGTCCTTGTTCTAGCACAATGTCTGTTGGACAAATGGCTACAGTTATGGGGTTAGTGCAAGTGCAGGATCCAGGGGAGCTTACCACTGCATAACCAGATGCACAAAATTTTATATAGGTATGATGTCTTTTCTGTTTCTGCAGTGGAGAAATTCAGCACAACTATGCCAGCATCATGTTGGAGCTAGGCCTCAGCTATATCTTGACCTTAGTATTTTGTTTTTAACCATTAATACAACAATAACTGAGATACAGTATTTGTATCCGCATGATGCAATTTTACAGTACAGTGCTGCCTAACAAGACGATGTTAATTCATTCTGCAAAAATCGCTATTTTGTGAAAACATCCTCTTGCGAAATGCGGTTTCCCATTGGAATGCACTGAAATCCATTTAATGCGTTCCAATGGGGAAAATAGTAGTCGTCTTGCGAACATCGCCCATAGAGAAACCGTTTTGCGAAGCGCAGATCAGCTGTCAAAATCGTCGTCTTGCAAAAAAACGGTCCCGAAAACACCTGTTTTGCGAAGCGCGGACCAAAACACTGTCCAGCGAAAATCGTCCATAGGAAAAACCGTTTTGCGAAGCGCTATAGCGAATAAACCGTTTTGCAAGGTAATCATCTAGCGCGGCACCACTGTATTTCCTATGTTCATAATCAGTGCTGGACAGAGAGAAATCCTAGGCAGACAGATCTGATTTTGAAATCTGTAATTCCTGATAAGTTCAAGGCAAACCATTGCCTCATATATGCCAATACTATAAGAAGCTGATTTCACTGAATCTGTTACCATATATTTTTGTTTTATGCCAACTATTTAATATAGGCTAGTGCTTAGAACTGCAGACTTCTACACATTCTGTCAGCATCCTGAAAATGAGAAACAGATTTACTTTATTATAAATTCATACTAAGGCTTCTGCATACTTCAGTGGAACTATTTATATCCTTAAAAGCTGAGAAGAATCTGAAGCACATACATGAGATTAGAGGAAGACACTTATTACTTTACAAAGTAAAGATCTAAATACTATATTTAACAGACAGATGTAGCTAGTTCACACATCATTCTAGCAAAGATGTCACATTTACTGGGAGCAAGTCACAAGATAATGCAGTCATTTTCTTCTTTACAGTCAAATCTCCCAATTTGTAATGATATCTGACCTCAAAAACTATAATTTGATCACTCCCTACTAGCCAGAATTTAAAAATTTCTGGGTTCAGATATCATGTTGAGTTAGTTTAATAAATCAAGACACTGACCATGAAGTGCAACTACAGTTTCAATGTCTAAAATGAATATAGGGAAGAAACATGGGGAATCCCTCTGTTTGCAGTCCAATACACAATGGCTTGTCAGATTGGGATTGTGGCACTGGAGCTTGCTCCTTACTTCCTAGGGTCCAACTCTAATTAGCAAAGACTGCTCGCTAGGGATGTGGTGGCGCTGCGGGCTAAACCGCAGAAGCCTTTGTGCGCTGCAGGGTCAGAAGACCAGCAGTTGGACGATTGAATCCACACAACGGAGTGAGCTCCCCTCGCTTTGTCCCAGCTCCTGCCAACCTAGCGGTTTGAAAGCATGCCAATGCAAGTAGATAAATAGGGACCACCTCGGTGGGAAGGTAATGGTGTTCCGTGTCTAAGTCGCACTGGCCATGTGACCATGGAAGACTGTCTTCAGACAAAACACTGGCTCTATGGCTTGGAAACGGGGATGAGCACTGCCTCCTAGAGTCGAACACGACTGGACAAAAATTGTCAAGGGGAAACTTTACCTTTACCTGCTCACTTCCCTGCTATTCTTCCACCCAGTAGGCTTTTGATATGTAAACTGATGCTCAGGAAGGGATTTGAAGGGAGCAGCTGTCTTTTTTTAAAAAAACTTTAAAAATACATTTTAAGTTGTTTTAAAGGGATTTTATTTGCTACCATTTAATTATTTATTAAATAATTAAATAAATTGTTTTTGTAACTTTGATATTTGCAGTTTTTAAATTATCTGTAAGCTGTCTCTGGTTCCTCTATAGCAGGGGTCTCCCACAGACCACATTCTTGCCTTTTTAACTGGCCCGGTGTCCGTGCATACGTCTGCATGCGCACCTTCCTCAAAAATATATGATGTGGCCCTCCCGCTGAAAAGTCTGGAGACCCCTGCTCTATACGAAAAAGGGATGAAAGCAATAAATAAAGAGAGAGAGAGAGAGAGAGAGAGAGAGAGAGAAAGAAAGAAAGAAAGTTAAAGGTCAATAGACCAGCTGAAGCAATGCTGCATTCCAACCCTCCTCAAATTCAGGATGCTGGAAATTCTTGGAACCAAACTCGCTCTGGCCTAAATTTGTGCTAGCAAAGTGACTACATCCCTAGATTGCAGGAGGTCTGGATTTGGCATAATGTGGCTCTTCTTTCCCATTGTTCCCTCCATCCCATTTAGCTTTTCTGCTGGCAGATCATAATCAGATTCTTTTGCCAGCAGATCTCTGAGATCATCTAGCAGAAGCACAAGGGGCCTTTTTTGCTGGCAAAATGGGATCTCTGCTGGTGGAATAGGCCTCTGCCTTTCTGACCCCATACAGCAATTACATCTTTCAGTTTGGCTTGCAGTTAAGAAATCACATGCAAGGAGAAAGAGATTACTGCTATTGCTTTTTCTTGCCAAAAAAGATATGAAAACTGTCTTATTGAGAAGCAACACTTGAAGCAGTCTAGAAATGTATGTTCACTTCACTAATCTTTTCCTAAAGTGAGATAACCTTATGGTGAAATCTAGGGCTATTAAGCATGAAGCATACTCTTCTGTAAATGGGCATCTGCCCACATGAAAAGAACTTCTCTTTGCCCTACAATCTCCACATATATCCCCAAGTCTGCTTGAGACCCCTAGAGAGGATTCTGAAAGAGTATCAGCAGCTGCCGGAGGATGGGAATCAATCCCTTCTCTTTTCTGTTAGAAGACCCTAATCAGATACAGTCCAGCTTATTTTTAATTCTATTACTGTATGTGACAACATGCTATTAGGAAAGTGTAACGGAGTTCTTCTGGGCCCGGGGGAGCCATCGTTGTAAAGGCAGGAAAGAGACAAGGAGGCTCTTCATCGGTTTCAACATCAACAAGTTTATTGGTTGCACAACTTAATTCCACAGGATCAAACGGGTCCTGTAAATAACTATCATTTAACAAATGATAACGCTTGGGCTTAACACCCCCAATTCCAGTCACTTGCCCTAGAAGGGGGACGGTCCAAACTTCTCTCAATCCGTCATGGGACGGAGGGGGGCACTCCTCACGGCACACACCGTGCCACAGCATGGATGCCTAGCCCAGTCTCCCTCAGGAGGTTTCTTCTGGAACTCCGGACCGGGCCGAATTACCCTCCGTCCTCCCCCTGGTAGGTTACGGGGATAAACTGACACAGTCTATTCTAACGGTTCTATCCACTTCCCCCACACCCCCGACGCAACGGGGTCTGGAAGCAAACCTCCTCTGGTCACTAGGTTGGGGAAACCCTCTGCGAGGTGTGGGATGGTTCCTGTCCCGAGCATGGGCTCCGTCTGGACCCCCCGGTCTCTGGTCCTCTCTGGGTGGACATCCGTCCAAAGGTTGAAAACGCGCGCACTATCTGTCCCTTTTATTTCCTCCCACATGATAAGGTCCAGCTCCTCCCCCTCTTCGTCTACTAGGCACACCTCCTCCGGCTTTGACGCGATCGGTTCAGCCTGCTCTATCTCTACCAGTGTTCCCTCTCTACACCTAATCTCCTCTGTCGCTTCTCTGGTCGCTGAGGACGGCGCACTCTCAGCTCTTCCTTCACAGAAAGTAACGTTTAGGGAATTCAGTATGTTTTCCACACTTTATGTGAAAATGATAGCATGCACTTACATTTCTGCTCTAGGACTCAACAGGACTAAAAGGATTTAATTTACAATCACACCAATTCATCTTTAGTTAACATTTAATATTCAATTTCTTTTTTAAAAATACAGTTGCCTCTGTTATTTTATAATGCATATGTAACAATGTATACCCCTTTAAAGACCAAATTAAACAAAGATGCCACCTAAGAGGTTTGCACTTTTATCGGTGTGAATTTTATTCTAAGCTTCCAGGTCTTTCAGTCTAGCCTTCTTGATTGTGCACACAATGAACATTACCTGAAATGAAAGCGTTCAGGTCAGGTTGAAGGGACTTGAACTGGTTGGTATAATATTCTCGTTGTTCCTCTGTTATCCTCCAGGGGTCATCTGGGTAATTACTACTGCTGTCCTGTGGTTCTCTCTCTACTGAAACAGACTTCAAAAAAGGGGGCAAAGTATCATTTGGAAAGAAAGAGAAAAGGCTGGGTCTTTTGAAGCTTCAAAGCTTTTGCCTTACTCTTATTCTTATTCTGTATTTCTTTTGAAAACAGATGGATGGGGAGAGACTTGAAGTTTATAAAAGGACTGCTGGACTTACAATAAATGTCTCTGTTCACAAAACTGCAGAAGTTCTACATATGTGGGAAAATACACACACACACACACACACACAGAGAGAGAGAGAGAGAGAGAGAGAGAGAGAGAGAGAAATGGCCTTTTGCCCGACATCAGAATAAACCCTTTGAGACCTCTGAAGGCAAAAAGGCAGGGAGAAAGGGCGAGAAATTCAAATTTCCAGCCCTTTCTCCCTGCCTTTTTTCCTTCAGAGGTCTCAAACAGCTTCC